ACAGACAGTCCTGCTGTTGTTGCTGGCTTTCCTCCTCTGTGTCCAGGAGCCCGGTTTTCCTGAGAACTAAGTGCTGGAGGAAGATGGAGAGGAAAGCATCGTGTTCCAAGAGTGCACCACAGAGCCACCCAGGCAGTGCAATGCCGTGTTTGAGGTGCTGAGCGACAGAGTGAAAGGGGGAGCCACTTCCAGCAGGGTGAAGAAAAGGCTGCCAAGGAGCTGAGCTGGTCCAAGTAGTCCAAGCACAGAAAAAAAGGGTTGAGAGTGAAAAAAGAAACCAAGAGAAAGTACAAAGAATCAAGTCTGGGCTTTGGGGATAGCAAGGATACTGGAGTTGTACTGACTGACTGTTGAGACGATTTCATACCTCTGCGATTTCGGGCCAGTGGGACTTATCTAAAGAAATCTTCACTACATTGTCAGTCAAAAACCTTTCCTAATTTAGTTTGCCAAACGACTGACCCTATATAGGCTACGAACCCTCCATGCTGTTAACGCTGTAACTCATTTTTCCTGAGTTGAGGGTAGCTTCATTTCATGCGGGTATCAGTTTTCAAACCTCAAACAGCTCTGGGGGTTCAGAGAAGCATCCCAGAGGCTAGATGCTTGTCTGAACTGCTTGAGCCTGCACAACTGGGCCAGCTGTCTTGCCAGAACGGACACCGCTGTGAGACAGCGGGCGCTTCCTGGGTCCGCATGGCCCAGAGTTACTGCAAGGGCGGCCGTTCTCGTGCTGGCCTTGGCATGACTGTTTCCATTCAGACCCAGGGAGTGCACAGGTGCATGCCAACAGCATGAGTGAATTGAACCAAGCCTTTTTCGCAGGACAGTTTTGGTTCACATCTCTGTTGGAGGGTCCAGTTGGTACCTCTTTCTTCCAGAGCCAACTGCCCTGGGTATGCATGCGCGCGTGTCAGTGCGGGTGTACGCGTGTTGAGCAATCAAATCCACCTAACCAAATTCTGCAGTATTTTGTTATATTAGAAGTAAGCCAATGGGATCTAATGTGCATTCCAATAATGCTCAGCAAAAATGCCCAGGACCAGAAAATTATGTGAAACTACTTGAAGGCAGACTTCACAAGCATCACCCCAAGATCAAAAGATCATTTGATTTTGAGGTGCTTAATTTCCACAGCTCCTTTCAAGGGCCCTGATTGCCTAAACAGGCATTTGCTTTTTCCAGAGACTACCTGCTTTTTCCAATTAATTAGCCTGCCTGAGTTTCTTGATCATTTGGTCCTGAGGTATGTACATTTTCGGCTGACTTTTTGGAGTGTGCAGAACTCGATCTCCTGTACTTTTTTTTTTTTTTTTTTAATTAATTGCTCCTAACAGACTGGAGCTTTACTTGTAGCACCCTAGTTTATACTACCAGACTCTCCAGGAAGGACTGGTATTTTGCTCTCCTGTGGCAGAGACTTGAGAATGAAGTATGTATGTGTTGTGTCTGTGAAACTTTAGTGGATTTCAGCCACTGTTTTTTTTTTTTTTCCTTAGGCAATTTTACATTTGACTCTGACAAAACTACTTTAGAGTTTTTTTTTATTTTTATTAGAGATATTATTAATTCAGATAACCTTGTACAAAAGGCAAATGTATTGAATTACTACAGGTTGTGGGGGCTGAAGCCAAAGGTCTTTGTAAGCCGACATCACTTGCCCTAGATCTGACTGTATCAGACAGTTTATTCCTCATGTGTCATGTTGGAGTTACAAGATCATACCAAGCCACTAGAACCTGTCAATAGAATAGTGCTACACTATATTTGCTGTTCTAGCAAAGCCTTTTGTAGATTTATACAATAAAACTTTGAAATATCTGCTTACATTGCTTTATGTCTTTTATTCTGGTCTTTCCTCCTTAATTCATGGGAGACTCAGGGACCTCTGCCCTCTAAGGATTTAAATTTGTCAGCCATTTGGGCTTATTTGAGTCATAAAATCCTACCATCACATCTGAAGTAGAAAAATGCTCTTCTCAGCAAAAGTGGATGAGAGGCATCAACATGAAACGTACCGGGCTCGTGGAGAAGTGGGATCCAGATATAGAGAGTATGGATGGGTTAAGCTAGTTGTTTAGTCTCCCAGACTGCGAGTGAGGTATGGCCCACGAGGCTAGGTAAAATGGTCTCCTGCGGGTTTGTGGACTGTGCAGGGCTCTTGTCAGAGTGGTAAGGCTGTTCTCCTTCTCATGCAAGTACAGCTAGGAGAAGTTCTGGCCAGAGGGCAATCACATTCCCACCCATGCTTCGGAAGTAATTTGCATGGGTGAGCTGCACCAAGTTAATGCAAGGTAAATAAATCACTAACTTGAATAAACTCTACCTGATACCCAAGGGGACTTTAGTGCTCTGAGTAACCAGTGCTCAGCAATACAGGGAGCTGGGAGCTGCAGTCATGCTAGTGCTTTGCTGCCTGGTGCATTCACCTGCTGCAGGGACATATTCCATCCCTCGGGTTCGTTACCCATGCAGTACCTCTGGGTCATCGGGGCTGTGGAAAGGGACCATGGCAGAGGATGCAGCTCAGTGTCTGAAACTGAAATGAATGCTTTTGCAATAGGCTCTGCTCAAAGATCCAGCCCCAAGGACCTTCACTTCATGGGGATACAGGACTCTGTTCTGCCTTTGCATTTCCCTGCAGTTCAGAGAATCTTTTGCACTTAGCAGGAATTAAGCCCCCATCCTCTGCTCTGTCCTTGGTCTTTCCCCAGCAAGGAGGGTGTTAGGACTAACAGATGCGTCTGCTAATGAACTAGCGGATCCAAATGGACTCATGCCTTTCACTATGGGCACTAAACATGCATTGCCAAAGTTCCCCCCAGGTATCTCTGGCTCAGGGAAGGGAGGTAGCACGTGATTTGATGGCCAAAGATGCCTAAAGGACAGTTCCTAACATTTTGGTCTTCAGCTCCGTTTACAGTTTGTTCATTCATAAACTCTTTGCAGGAGTGAAAAAGGAAGCCTGAAGATACAGTTTGGCTTCATGGCTGAATCTGTACCTTTGTGTGCCCAAGTGCCATCAATGGTAATGTGGTGAACAACAAGCATTGAGGGGTTAGTCCAGCAATGGGGTGTAGCTAGAGCCATCGCATGCTGGGAGAGTGTAGGAGAAACAGAGCAAGGGCCCAGGGTTAGACTTTGGGTGGTCTACGGACATGGCTGAAGGGCTCAGTCTTCAGCAGCAACCAACCCCACACCTTGCAGAGCAAAAAACCCTGAGCAGCTCAGTTGGAGGTGCTGCGCTCTTCCAGTAGAGGGGGGCAGAACTCCACTGTACACCGTGGGAATTAAAATTAAAAAAAACTCTATAAAAGAGAAAAATTTGTTATCAGCGTGATCCAGTCCCTCACTGCCCATTCCCACAGCTTCAGCAATACATGACCAGTGGTTGCTTCAGTGGAGAAGGAGCAACACGGGGGTCATGGCAGGAGGTGAGGAGGACTGATGGTCAGGTTTTGGTGGAGAAAGATGGATTGGATGGGGGGAGGGAGGAGGGAATGCCTGACAGTGTGGGCTAAACTCAGAAAGTTTCCAATTTTGTTCCAGAGCCTTCTGGATTTGAATCCAATAATTTTTATTTACTTTCCTTCTGACAGCTCAGATTGAAAATCCCTAGAGAGTCACTGGGTCTACACCTTCATTTAATGAAGAAATGCCTTATTACTGCTCCTGGCTCCATCAGTAGGGAGTCACCTGGGACACATATAGCCCAGGAATGGATTAACTAACTCACACTAGTCGAAACCCTTTCCAAAGTCAAAGTGGGAACTATCCCTGTATTTGCTGGGGCACGATCCAAAGTGCAGAGATATTCAGAAATACACTTACAGCATTAATTCACTCTTGCTTGATAACACTTTTCTTTTTTTCCTATTGTAACCACATTGATGAGTTCCTAAATTTGTTTATTCGGGACGGCTTGAAGAAAGTGCTAATATGGACTTTGTCAGAATATTGCATTCACATATGAAATATTTATTCTTCCTTTTTCCCCCTCTCTCTCCTTTTTAAACAACATGATTGCACTGGTCAGTCATATAAATCATATTTATTGACTGTTTGGGCAGATGGGTGTTTGTGCACAGCCTGACTGCTCCCCTGGAACCACTTTTTCCAGCAAAGCAATGTGTAATTAGGGAGGCTGTGAAACTTTCATTATTGACACAATCGACTATAACGGCTCCACTTATCATGTCAATATGATGCTCTGGTGAGCTCCCAGTACTCACTCTGATCATGCAGTTAGACATTATCTTAGACCAATTCCCACAGATACTAGAAGTAAGGCATTGCAGGCAGGTGACGTGTTTTTTACAACTACTATCTAATCATTAAAAATTGAAAAGGGGATTGCTTTGTGCAAAATTAGGCTGAATTTAGCAGAGAGTCTTGGGTGAAAAAATGTGGTTTATAATTATCTAAGGGACAACAATTTTCTTTATTTTTTAGGCTATATTTCTGAAAGTTTAGTTGATCATGCTGTGCCAATGTGCTTTTCAATCCTTCCCCCTTGCATATTTAATAACTTTCAGCCTATTAACTTGCGTCACAGAATAACAGAGGCTCTCAAAGTCACTAAATGCCTACATGTTTTCTTAATATGAAGTTGCTGAATGGAGGGCAGTCACTCCATTGCTGCCCCGTAGGGACAGGCTGAATGTGTTCAGCCAATATTATACACAAAAGAGCTCAAACGCAAACTGTAACTCCACAGAAAATCAGGCTTCATTTAGTCCTGCCTCTTAACTGGCACTAAGCATTTCTTTTTCTAAAGGAACAGCATCTCGACATTTTCAAAATGAACCTTTTTGCCTTTTTGTTTTAAAACAGCATCACTTAAAAACTGGCTCCAACTTAAAAAAAAAAAAAGTAGAAAAAAAAAGGAAACCAACAAAAATGAAAAGGGTTAGAAAGCTCAAAAAAGGATTCGAATAAAATGCTTTGGGACTCATAAGCACGTGCTGACTTAGTGCAAAATGAAATTTGATGTTTCATCTTTGATTTGATCTCTCAAGATATTAGTGGAGTTTCTCTTCTAACTTAAACCTTGCCCCATTTCCACCTCTCCTAATTTGACTATTGAACTAAAAAAAAAAAGCCGTCCATTATTTCCCTAGCTGCAATAAATATACCTTGTGTGCTAGTATGCTGTACACTTCAGTGAGGCAGAGTTTTCTGAGCATCGTAAAAACTGTGAATCCTTTCCTTACCTAAAACAGAGTCATTCTCACAAGAGAGCCCAAGGAAAATCCCTCTTCGTAACAGGAATATAGAGCCTCTGACACGTAGAACAGAATTGCTGCCAATTTTGTCACCAGCACAAGTATAATTTAAGCTTGTGACCCTAAGGCTGACCTCAGCCTGGGCAGCAATATCAGTGCAGTCTCTTAGGTCACCTATGCTGAAATTCAGTTGAAGCCTGCCCAGAAATTCAGGATGCATTTCTAATCACTTCTTCTGTTCAAGACAATGCCCTGTGCAGCTGGTTCCCTCATGAAGACTTATTGCCAGTAGTATTTTCCCCGTCTTATTTTCCCTGTTACCCATGCCTGGCCAAGAAATGCCCTTTAGACACTCTTGCGCATTATGGAGATTTTGTTGTTCTATACGGGGTGCCTGGTCCTAGAAACATAACCAGGCAGAGGGTAACATCAAAGCAGACTTTGTAGATGGCACGGGAGTTCCTTTAGCACTCCTCTGGTGGAGGAGGGTCTGGGAGGACTTTAGGTACCAGCAAATCGCCAGGGCAGAAGGAGGTATGCTGGGGTCCCTCAACTCCCATTGTGTAACTAGCTGGCTCCTGGGCTTGCCACAGCCCGCAGCGGTCACCCTTCTAGCTTGGTCCCCACAGCTCTACTGTCCTCTCGGCTCCCTGATGGGTTTCTCTTTGGCAACCAGAACTGGGGAGAAGAACTGGCTCATCAGTCAGTACCCTATCCTAAAACACGCAGTGCAGACAAGCCTCCCACTCTATGCATTAGTCTCCAAGCTTCCCACACCACTATATCCACCTCTGAAAGCAACCTGTCAATCAGTGTCAGCAGAAATAATGATGTTTGCTAGAACATCATAGCTGCAAGGGGTTTTGAGTCTGATGGGAAACAGGTCAGTCCCATTTGCACCACGGGTGCCCAAGGATGGGGTTCATCTCTTCTAACTTAAGATATCTATAAAGTGAACATCTACAATAGATCTGAAAACTCCTGCTTCCTGACTCCTGCATAGTCAATGAAGGGAAATGGCATTTTAGGGGAATAGATATTATATCCTAAAGCAACTATTGAAAAGTTGGGTTAAAATGGGAGATATACATTGTTCCATACAAGGTCAGTTTTTCCTTAGTTTTTTTGTCTGTCAGCTCTCTGGCCAGATTTTGGAAAGCCTGCAATACTCTTTGCATAACAGTGTCTTTCATTATCCATGCAATGTGCATTGCTGTTTGTGACCTACTATAGAAGTATTTTGGGGAGCCTTTTTTCTACGGGAAGAGGTGAGGAAATTCTAGTTAACTTGTGAGGTCCTTTCCATTTCAAACAGTCCTTATGTTACCGATGATCATTTTTCCTAAATTCACTCCTCAGCCAGCCCACTGATCACAGATCACCTCAGAAACATGAATCCCTGATTGGCAATCTGTACCTCTGTTTCCACATCCTGGATGGTTTGAGCCAGTTCAGAAGCTGATACTTCTCTTTACAGCCCTTTCATCTAAAGACTGCTAACGGTCATGCTCATGAAACACATTGACTAATTCACCATCCCGTGCCCTGTTAATATGAGGAGCAGGATAGCATGAATTATCTGACCGGCACCAGGGC